TGAGGGAGCCTCCTGCGACCGGCCAGCCCGTGTATTGAGCAGCTGCCCTGATGTTTGCTCCCTCTGCCTCATTGCCCCTTGTTAACTTCCTGGACTGATTTGTTTAAGTGTAAACACCGCTGTTATTCAGTCTCATGAGCCAGGTGAAATGATGCTGGCTGCTTGTTCCTGGCGGGGTGTGTGTGTGTGTGTGTGTGTGTGTGTGTGTGTGTGTGCGTGTGCTGTACTGAAGATGTGGAACTAGGGAACCTCTCACATGTAACAGGTGAAAACAAAACAAAAGCAGAGAATTGTGTTAGTTCGAGAGATTACCAGATTTCCTCCTCATGCCTGTTGTATTTAATGAACTTTTGGTTCCTTGAAAGACTACCTACTCACCTGTGTTAGTAACATGACGGTAAACAGGGACAACTAGAAATATGTATTTATGTATACCGGTATATACATCATAAAATGATAAAATGAAGAATACCTCGGTTAACGTGCTGATGGTCTTCAGTTTTTTCAGGTGTTGGCATCATCGCTTTCAGCAGAGAGGCAGATGACAGAAAGATTTTTGTCCTGCAGCCAAAAAATCAACCAAAAACCCCACCAAAACCCTAACTGCAGGCTCTCTGTTTCCAAATCTTTATTTTACCACTCTGTGATCACCCACAGATTTTTCAAAGCAGGGAGCTTTTCTTCTGCAGTAATTGTTCTCCTCTGTTTTAGTGCACTTGTACTATCAGGGAAAATATTTAATTTTACAGCAAGAGGCTGATGTTCCTCAAGAGAGAGGAAAGCACCCGCCCCCACCCCCATAGATGGAGGAGGAGGAGAGTAGGGCAAGGTGGGTCTGTGGAGAAAGAGTGTGGAGCCTCCCACTCTGCTCCTCATACCAGCCACGAGCCAGTTCTCGCCAAGTCTCCTGTTAGGGCTTTGATGCTGGATATCCTGATAATAAATTCACCTCGTGCAGGTCAAGCCATGTATTCAGAACATGAGGCATGGGCCTTGGAATATGATAGACCATTATTCTGCTGCTAATATGAGGGGGATGTGAGTGTAACAAACATAAAACGATGCCCATGATCAAATTCCATTTTTCCCCTTTCTATTCTGAAAACAATAGAAGGCAGAAAATGAGAATTTTCTGTTTTAGGTGCAACATACACGTCCAGAGCAATAGAGCCAAGTCGTTCGTACAGGGGAATGGACGAGTGCAGGAATCTGACTGAACGGTAGCTCTGGCTGTGATACAAGCTGGTGAATGTTCGATACCATTAACCATAGGAGCAGTTGCAAGCATGGGTAATAACAACCTGTGCTTGAATAAATCCCATACACCTTGCAAATCGAAAATCATTATACCTCCTCATGACCTAGTTCAAATAGATAGAGTGGAATCATGAGAATGAATGAGTCACTGAGGCCAACTTTATAAATTTTTTATGTGTAGGGTATTATATATAGTAAATATAAAGTGCCTTTCCCCCCATGCCTGATATAAATATCATTTTATGCTTTATATTGATTTTTGTGGTCTGATGAATCTAAGTTACATGTTTACAACTTTGTGTGTCCCTTTCATCCAGGACTGGCTTGCTGATGAGGAGGACACTATATATTTGCATTTCATCTGGTGGAATTGCATTTAGATTTTATACATGCATGCATATTTCAACACATCTAGGTTAATATATGTTGAATTTATTGAACTGGGGAGCAAATATGTATTTGGACTCCATGTATCTTATATAGTCAAAAGTTGTGTGTGTGTGTGTGTGTGTGTGAGAGAGAGAGAGAGAGAGAGAGAGAGAGAGAGAGAGAGAGAGAGAGAGAGAGAGAATGAGAATATACGGGCAACATTTATATATGTATATACAGGCAAAGAGTGTGTCTGGTGTTCTTCTGGTTTGTTCTACAGAATAGAGCACGCCAAACTCTAAGTTAGGTGTCTTCCTGAAAGTTTCCTGGTAAATATCTATAGAGCAACATTTCACATTACAGCTTTTTAACTTTGGTGTTATTGATATCATGGACTGGATAAACCTTTGCCATAGTGGGCTGTCCTGTATAGGAAGCCTGACAAGACCCCAGATCTGCATATTAGGAGCAGCACTCTCAAGCTGACAAAACCAGAAATGTTTTAAAAAGTGTTACATGTCTTCTGGAGGTGGAGGGGGACAGCGTTGCTTCCCTCTCCCATTGATAGACAGACACTATGCCAGGCACCATCACAGAGAGAGGTCATCTACACTGTTTCTGTTGGCAACTAATTGTGCACATATAGTTTGTACTCTTCTAAGGGTGGTCCTGTTCCTCTTGCTTTGATATTGGTTTTCAACGTTCAGATATCTCATTAAATGCCTAACGAAGTATTGTGGAAGAGTATCCCAATACCATTTTTTTGAAATAGAGATTTGCTGTTGTTCTTAGTTGCCATTGACTTGGATTCAACTCATGATGAACTTATGTATAAAAAGATGCAGTGTTGCTTTGGCCCATGGCAGATTCATGATCGCTGGACTGTGTGACTAGGGCCACATGATGTTTCTCAGAACAGAGGGACATACCTACTGAGAAAAGAAACATTGTAGAAGTTGAAGCTAAAGACACATGTGACTCTCTTGGTTTTGATTTTTCCTTTCATATAAATCATAAATAAGTGAAACATACTGATTTATTTCTATATCACAGTAGGCATCGCCCATCCTGTTTGGACTGTGTGCTTGTGAAAGGCGTTGGGGGAGAGGGGAGTATGTTCGGGAAGTGCCCTGTGTTTGGTTCAGTATCAAGGATTCCAGAAGTAAAAGTAAAGCCTTTTGATAGTAGAGTATGGTTCTCAATTGGTGGTGATATGTAGAGCAATAAGGAAAACAAACAAACAAACAAAATAAACATTGAGTTTAATGATTTCAAGAACTGTATCCTATTATAGATTACCAGTGTCATTAAAAAAATATTATACCCCATTTTCTTCCTCAGTACAAAGGCATGTCTAGGTGCAAAGAACAAATAATGCAAGGTTTACAAACGATTGCAACTATAAAGATCTAAACAAATTGAATTAACATAGATGTATGTTTTAGTGAGAATTGATAGAACACACTGCATTTTCCGCTATTGTAGAATAGTTAAAAGTTGCTTATGAGAAGAAATAGTATATAGTTTTAAGTTAAAAAGGGGGGGCATCTTTAATTTGAACGGTGTGATTTGAAATTATTTCTAGGCCTCATATTTTGGTTTTGTTTCCTTCCTTTCTCATACAATTAATACTTTTACTCTGCTATAAAAATAGAGAAATAAAAAAACAATGAATTTATCCCCAAATTAATTTTGTACAGCAGCTATTATTATTTGTTTGGAATGCATTTTAGTTTTTTTTAAGTGTATTTAAATGTGGATATTACACATGCAAATATAGATGTACAGTTACATATATAGGGATATACATAGAAATGCATGTATATGCATACATGTATGTAAGTAAAGACATACTTACCTAAAATAACCATCATTTGATGACGATATATGTAACTGATACTATAGTATGGATGGATGGTCTTTCAAATGGGTCTATAAAAATTCATAAGTTCTTACAGAAATTTGATTTTCAGTCATGCCTAGGCCAGATTCTTAGCTCCAATTCAATACAAGGAAGCACACAGTTGCCTCTACCTGGCTCTTCCTGGTAGGCCAGAATATTTTTGTATTCACCATTTTTGTTGCCCTATTGACAGTTAAATCTTGTGTCACATATAATTGTACAGATACTCTATCATTCATTTAAGTAAAATCCAATTTATATCTAGTTTTGTGTACACAATAGATAGACTAACCTAAATAAATAATTCAATAACTTTGTTTTGATTTGTAACACTTATACAGATACCATGAAGACTTTTATGAGAAAAAAGTATGGAGACAGAAGGGAGGTTGTTAAAATAGTCTCCACTGGGGGAAATGTAAAAGCAGGTAGAATAGGAACAGTTGCTTTATTGCGCACAGAGATGCCAAAGTGTTCCTTCTGTAGATAACAGAAAGTTCTGACATGTAGATTTCTCCATTGCTATGCTATAACAATTTGGGAAACTGACTGGTAATTGAGAAGAAAATGAAAAAAAGCTGCATCTCTGAAAGCTCTTAAGTGAACTATTGAAATAAAGCCAGTATTTTGCTTACTAGAGTTCTGGGCTGTGCGTGATTTCTCTCTGTGAATGACCACTGGTAGATGTGCCAGTAAAATGACATTTTCAGAGGACTCCATGTAACAGGGATTCAACTATCATTTGTATTTCTGTTCTGTGGCAGTTTTTAGGTGTCC